CATCGCTCTTTTCAGCCGTCGTAATCCCTTTTCTGTTCTGGAACTGATATAGGTGCGCGCTCGTTGCTGCAGCTGCCTCTGCGCGTATAAATTTACCGGACACATTCCCGACGGCCATTGGAGGAATCGCTTCCTGTTTCCCGTGCTCCTCCCCGAACCGAGTGAAACGAAGACATTGATAGCTCGCTAAGAGACAACACTGAACGGAGACCGTCACCTCTCGCCTGTCGACCCGAGTCATTAATTCTCTATCACTATAAAATTGAAAAAAGGAAAGGACAAAAAATATATATTCGTAATAATCTCTTTTTGAAAACGAGCTTTCGATACAATCATAATTCAATCTCAGGCTAAAATTGCTCTCTTTTTGTCACATTAGCGCAAAATTTTTATGTAAATTGAGAGACGCGTAATCATCGATATCAGGTTAAATGAATTATTAAAAAAATTTGACGTTTTTTTTGAAAGATCGCATTTTGCATTTTACGATTTTGGCTGTACAACATCGATTCTCAAACGCGGCCTTTCAATATTCGTTACGACACGATTCACAGCGCTCCAAGATACTCTCTCGATTCTCGCGGCTGGTAATTTCAAAGACGAACTCAGTTTGCATCCAATGGAGAATTATTATGTAATCTTTGCCTTCTGAAGCGGATATCAGTTGTAACTATAGTTACAGTAACGTGCTCTGTCACGTATAATGGAAAGTTCAGGTATTCCCTTGCCTGGCGATGCCTGAAGGCTACGATAATTTTACGGCTCATTTGCATAATGCCGTCGGCCAGTCACGTGAATCACTTTGATAAGCTCAATAGTAATGGTTTACGTTCTCTCTCTCTCTCTCTACGTTCTCATCTCCACGTTCGATTGTACCGGGGTCTCTGCGGGGAGTTTCGATTTACTGCTCGGCCGTGCCGATTGGCTACACCGCAATTCAATTTTTCGGCATTCACCATGATATAAAATAGAATATAGAAACAAAGGGTGTCCCAGAATTAATAAACCAACGTATCCAACATGCGACAAAGGAAATTAAAAACGCGTCATAGTTATTGGAAAAACGTGATTGTGTCGAGTAACCGAACGGTGCGACATTCACAAAAGACGTCACAGAGCTGTCTAAAGGATATTTCAATCTTTCAGACGTCTCTTAAATGTCTCGCGGAGACAACTTTTGAACTTTTACATTATTCCGGTAGCCTCGTTAGCCAAATATTCAATAAATCAATGGAGCGTTAATTATTAAGCGAACCCGCTCTTCCTGCCTGTCTGTGGACCAAAATCGTTTCTCAAGGTACATACATATCTTATCTAGAACGCAATAAGTTTTTTTTATACATTGGAGAAAACAACGTGTTCGTCGGACGTATAAAAGTTAATCTGTCGTCGAGTTTAATAACGCGTGTAAAATTAATTAATTTAACGCGCGCTTTCTCTCTCCCTCTCCCTCTCTCTCTCTCCT